TGTGTGTGTGTGTGTGTGTGTGTGTGTGTGTGTTTTCGTAGATTTTCGTAGATTTTCGTAGATTTTCGTAGATACATATATACATGTTGTGGCTCTGAGGTTTGAGCCTGCTTTGTCAGAGGTCGAGGACTGGGTAAATGAGGAAGAGGAGGATTTGGCTCTGAGATTTGAGCCTGCTTTGCTACAGGATTTGGAATTACCTTCCTCCCCAGGGCTTTCCTCCTCGGCAGGATCTTCCCCCCTGATTGTGCCTCAGGTGTCGGCAGATAATCAGGAGAACATATCAGAGCCTCTGACTGAGGATCAAGCCGAGGAATGCTGGCTTGATGCGAGGCAACGGCGCAGGCAAAAGTGTAAGTTGCAACGTAAAAGGAAAGGACGAATTAGAGACTGAGATGAGGGACTGACATGCCCCACAGATAATAAAAGTGAGTGTGTTAGTTCTGGATTCTGGACAACGTGGTAATTTGTGAGAGCAGCTCTGACGGATTCTGTGTGTGTGGTGATAGTCTGTGATTTATGTTCTTGCTTTATTATCGGACTTGGCAGACAGCTTGTGTGAGACTGAAAAAGGACTTGCCTGGCCAAAGGAATTTAACCCTGTCATTACTGGTCTTGTCTGCTTGTGTATATTCCTTTGGAAACTTGGACTTCTCACTTCGTTGGCACAGGTGAGACATTACATATACATATACATATACATATACATATACATATACATATACCGTATTTGCCGGCGTATAAGACGACTTTTTTGCCCTGAAAAACATGCCTCCAAGTGGGGGGGTCGTCTTATACGCCAGTATATCCAATGCCGGCTTTCGGATGCTTGTGGGACGCAGCGAAGGCGCCTCTGGCTTCCCGGATCCCCCGCGTCGCTTCCGCTTCTCTGAATCAGGTTCGAATCCCGCTCGCCTCGCTCCACCCGAGGCTGCAGCCTTCCTGCTCCTCCCACGGCCCCTGGCACTCCGCCCTGCCGCTGCAGCCCCGGGGATTTCTGGAGGGCATTTCCGGTGGGGGGGGGTCGTTTTATACGCCGGGTCGTCTTATACGCCGGCAAATACGGTACATATACATATACATATACATATACATATACATATACATATACATATACATATACATATACATATACATATACATATATATATATATATATATATTCGTAGATTTTCACAGGTACAGGT